TGGACTTTAGTAATAGAACCTGGTTTCTTTTTTTTTATTATATTAGCTGCAGATATTCTACCTTGTACCGGAATTGAATATATAGACCATGTAACACCGGTCTTCTGTAATGTTTCTGGTTGATTATCTGTAGCAATATCACTTTGATCAATATCAGAATTTGATGAATCAGATTCTTCTGATATACGCTCATTAGTGGATGTGTCATCCAGGGGTGCCAAATGTAAATTTAGAAAACCAGGAGTTCATCAGAAAAAAACCAGGAGAACAATTCAGGAGACTTCGATTAAAGTTAGGAAACTTTTTTTGTTTTTTTTTCGAAAAAAATTGAAATTTTCTTTACGCAAGAGATTAAAATTTTCTCCTGATAGGTTAATTGTGGCATATTTTTCTATGTAATATTATATATGAGAAAAAATAATAGTAATTGTATGTTCTATTTCATTATTTATTTCGAAATCAATCACAAAGTGTACAAAACAAAAAAAAAACTACTATTTACTTATAAATTTAATAATAGATACCAGCATATCGAAAAAGATAAACTATGACACATATTTATACTGTTCGTGGTATTTTAGCAATATGTGTATATTTTTCTGATGATCGAATTTGTTTTAGTAGATCTTGATTATTAAGAAGATAATCATAGAATTCTGGACAGCTATATTGAGTATTTACTTTAATTTTCAATTCCGCACTAACAAGATCGTGCTTCATACTATTTCGATTATTATTTCACAAGTATTTCATATGACTGAATATTGTTTCACAAAAAACATTTGATGCTGGTATAGAAAAAACAAATTGAACTAATTTTTTTAAAACCAGGAATTTTTTCACCATGAAGAAGATAAGTCTATAAATAGTCACATCTTATATTTAGATTTTTTCTGAGATTTTTGTGATATCGAATATCTTCTTCATTATCGCTACCGAATTCAGCTTCAACATCACATTCACCACCACTACATAATTTAACTTCATCATTTGACATTGTTCCACCTTGTTTGTACAAACTTAAATTTGATGAAATAAATTCTTGTACTTGTTTATTAATACCACCAAACTTGTCCTTAAGTTGAACAAATTTAGATTTTAAATGATTAAAATCATTGTATAAAAGATCTTTATTGATCTTCTTATCATCAATATAGGAAAAACAATGTTCAATATTTTTCCATTCAAGCTTTTCAATATCAACTTCACTAAAAATTCAAATTGATTCATAAAATGAAGCATGATCTTCAAAATAATCTTCAATGTATATGATGATTGTATGGATGAATAATCTAAGTGACTTTTTTAAGTCATCGACTTCATTTGAATCGTGAATTTTCTCTAATAATTCCATTACTTTAGCATCAAAATAATCATCACGTAAACGATTATTTAATTTATAAAGTAAATCTTTAATTATACTGTATAAATTTACACCAGTTATATAATGTTTTTGCAATAATATATTTGCTTCTTGTACTTCTGATAATATATTCTTCGAAAAAAATAATGTACATTCACCTGTACAAAAATTCAGAAATTAAACATATTGATAATATCGCAAAATGCTTACCTTTATGAGACGTAAAAAAGTCGAGTAATATTTTTGGACATGTTCCATCTTTGAGATTCAAGAAGTAACTCTTTACTACTGGATAAATAGCGATTAAACGTTCGATGGATAATAATAAACTGAGCCAACGTGTACGAATACGTTGAAGTGTAACCTGAATGAAGAATGCAAAGATGAGATTAGATAAAATCACGAAGAGGACTTATAGTTATAGCAGATACATCAGATCAGATACATTTGATTACCTTCTGTTCTTGATCAATGAACTCGAAGTATTTCGTTAATTCTTGCGAACGAACAGATGACCGACAAAAATGTGAATAAATTTTTAAAATAGCAGTTTCTATATCAAATAATAAATGATCGTGTCCGTGTTGAACTGAGTTGTGAAGGATGTGACAATAACAATTACCTAAAAGTGAAATAATACAGAAGACATTTATAAATATTGAAGATATAAGAGGTTTTACCTTGTATTAAAAGTGGTATTAATTCATTAAATAATGAAAATACACTATGGTTATTACCAACATTTACATTTGTATTATCAGATCCAAGTGAATTAAGTTTTTCTAATTCTAATTCATAAGATTCTAAGACATATTTAATATTAGCAAATAATCCATCAGCTGATTCATCTTGTTGTTCTATAAATTCAATAATTCTATGTTTGATACCAAAATCAGAAAAGTATTGAGCTACTATAAGCAACATTTTTTTTGATTTCTTTTATTTGATGCATCATAACAAATTGAAAAAAAAAGCAACATTTTGAAGTTCTTCAACTAAATACTTTGTAAATGCTGGTGCTAATACATTACAAGCTATTTCACGAGCCTAAATACTAAATAAATAAAATATTCTATCGAAACAATAAATCGATAAGCAATGGAAAAAACAAAAAACTAAATCAAAAATTGATTTTTGTATAGCAGATTTTTATTTTTATAAATAAACAAAATTTTCTTTTTTATTGTCTGTTTAATTTTCGGTCCTATTGAGACCATCATCTGAACCTAAATCATATTGATGAAAATAATTTCATTTCATTTCAATTTCAATTTCAATTTCAAATGCCATTTCATAATGACTATTGTGTTATTAATTTAATTTAATACGATATGAATGAGATAATAAGTAAAAAATTCAAAATTAATAAGACCATCAAATTCACCAATAACTAAACCAATACCACCACCACATAGTACAAAATTACCAGCAGAAGAAATAGTACCAGCATTTGATGTAAAATCACCATGAAGACCAATAACATTAGCATTTTTAATTGTTGTTTTTCTCTAAATAGAGAAGGAAAACCATACCATGTTCATATTTGCTTTTTAAATTTAATACATACATTAATTTTATAAATTGGACATGGATTTTTAATATCAATACAATAAATCGATAAGCAATGGAAAAAACAAAAAACTAAATCAAAAA